ACTTGTTTTAAATACTTCCACATATGCTAGTATGATAAAACTTTGTGTATTTACTAGATGTCACAGCAATAAATTGTTTCATTATTAAAAAAATATATATTTTATTTTATTAGTTGAGTTTCGTGAACAGCTTACATTATTAACATTAATTTGTTCAGGTAGATATGCATAACGGTACACACAGGTGACTAGCGTTAGCCAAATACACTATGAACAATCTTAACTGCAGGTGGGATCGTGGTAAAGTTGGTTTTATATTTGCACATTCAGACTTTCCCTTTAACAATATAATTTCTTTAAAGTATTATTTGCAAACTCTAAATAGCGAAATAATATTAGCAGCCAATGACTATCAAAGTACAACATTGTTCACAGTCAGATAACCAGTGTTAATGTTGTTTTCAAGTCATGTTTGCATGGTAATTTCGATCGAATATTCAAAGTAACATGGTAAATAATATAAAGACTTCTAAATGAACGAATGTGTGAATATAAAACCAACTTTACCTCAATGCAGGTGGGTGTGTCACGTAGTCGTGATCCATCCTTGCTGCCTTAGCCACCGTGTCGCTATCTTCACAGCATAGCTGTTTAGACTGACGTTTGTAGTTTCTGTCATATACTGACCCCCTTCTCAAAGGAGCTTTAAAGTTGTTCCAAGGGAATAGGCTCGTGACAACACCGCTCTTCAGGTGGCGAACGACGCAGCCACCACTGTAATCATCCGGAGCGAAGTGCCGGCTGCAGACATAGGTGCTACATGTTTTACATTAAAACTATGCCCTTCCTCTCTTCAGATCGCCTGTATCCATTTAGGTTTCAGGTTTGGAACCACAGGAAAAGAATGAAATAAAAGGTAGGGCTGTTTTTGGTTAGAAGACGAACAGCCTGGAACAGAACAGAAACTGCGATTCTTCGACTCTGCCATTTTTCGTATATGCCGCTATGATAACAGTAAGTTCTAATGCACTACATTGACGTATTTCCGTTCGAAAAATGCGGAAGTGCGTAAAAGGTCTATAGGAGATTTTGTTCTAACCAGCACCTTAAGTTGATATATTAGAAACAGTTTCTGTTTCTTGCAGCTGAACAACAGAAAACTGACAATGATCACATCAGGTAAACCTCATGTGCTTTTTTCAGGGTTATATGGTAAAAATTTAAGTCCGAATGCCATTTTACATGACATTTATTTCCATACTACTGAAAGCAGCAGCAGATAGTTAATCTGGAAAATAAAACCGTGTGAAATTAAAATTGAGCCACTTGAATTAGAACTGGGACTCAAAACCAACACATAGTGATTCAGCATGTACATTTAATAATGTTAAAGAGGTTCATTATGTATGAATTAGACTATAAACCTTACAATTTCATGAGTGAGTGCATATTTTGTGCTTCTGTAAGTCTGTATTTAAATTTCTATCGTGTTTCATCTGGTGCAAATTGCTTATGCAAATCTCGTCACGTAGCGTGTTGTTAGGATCAAAAATCAAAATCAAATCACTTTTATTGTCACATCATCAGCAGGATGTGTGTTATGATGAGTGAAAAGCTTAGGTGCTGGCTCCAGACAGTAAAAATACAGATAGTGCAAATAAAATGACAGTGCAAAATACAGACAGTGCAAATACAATGACAATTTGAAATTGACAGCGATATGTACACTGAATAGGTGTCCATATAGTTGTAGGCAGTATTGTTTCAAGTATGGATTGGTTAAAGTCCAGTGCATGCTACATATTAATGGTGTGCAGTGAGGGGTGTGGAAGAGTCCGTGTGGGGTGTGTTAAGTGTTCATCAGCCTGATAGTTTGAGGGAAGAAACTTTCCTTCAGCCGGCTGGTGCATGACCGGATGCTGCGGAACCGTTTGCCTGAGGGTAGCAGAGAGAAAAGTCTATGGCTTGGGTGGCTGGAGTTGCTGATGATTCTCTTCGCTTTCCTCATGCACCGCCTTGTGTAGATCTCGTAGCTCACCTCCTACTACGCATACAGCTGTTCGCACAATCCTATGTAGAACTTTGCGATTGCTGCTGGTGCTATTCCCATACCAGGTGGTGATAAAGCCAGACAGAATGCTCTCCATAGTTCAGGTGTAGAACGAGCGGAGGATGTGGGGGCTCATTCCAAACCTCCTGAGACGCCTGAGGAAGAAGAGGCATTGTTGTGCCTTCCTCAGCACTGCGGACACAAAGGGGTTACAATGTAGCCTGCTCACCTAATGTTTACGCTTGTAATATTTATATTATTTGCTAATTATTAACATTATGTGGAACTCTGAATATGCGTATCATTTCATAGTCTGCTACTGTCCACCTGAGGTCGCAATTTGATTATAGACGCATGCTTTAAGAGCCTTACTAAATGACCGAATGAAATATGCAGTCTTCCAACAAGGCAGCCCGTGGTACTGAATACAACTAGTTAAACTGGAATTGAACAGGATAGAGACTAAAACAAATATCAAATCAGAATATCTGACTTCAGCATTGTTTTTAGAAACACAAGTATGTCTACTTAGCATATTTCTTAAATCTCTGCAAACATATTATGATTTTTTTTTGCTTTAGAAGAGTCAAAAGCTTACATACAGCACTTTTAAATGTTAATCTGATATTGTGTTTCAACAGCAACAAAAAAAAACACAGCGTCCAAATGTAGTTAGATGTAAGAATGTTTTTGCATCTGTTTTCAGATTGAGTGTTTTTGTGTCTGTTTATTATTTGTAGGTTGATGGTAAATCTGTACCCCGTGATGCAGGACATCCTCACTACCCGTTTAATGATCCCTATTAATTCACACTTCCACAAGATTCTGTGCCTTGGAACCAGCATTCATTAACTTCTCTGTGTACTTATAAACACATTAAACATTTTGTTATATACTGAAACGTCTGCTTTTTTGGTTTGTTTTTCTTGGAAGTAAACTTTTTGAATTAGGGGTTATATTCACTCATTTATTTCAGCTTAGTCCCTTTATTCATCAGGGGTTGCCACAGCAGAATGAACCACCAACTTATCCAGCATTTGTTTTACACCACGGATGCACTTCCAGCTGCAACCCAAAACTTGGAAATATTCACATACACCTATTCACACACATACACTACGGTCAATTTAGTTTATTCAATTCACCTGGACTGCATGTATTTGGACTGTGGGGGAAACCAGGAGCACCAAGAGGAAACCTACAAGAACACGGGGTGAACATGTAAACTCTATACAGAAATAACAACTGACCCAGCTGGGACTTGAACCAGCGACCTTCTTGCTATGAGGTGACAGTACTAACCATTGAGCCACCTCAAGGAGTTATTGTAAATATGAAGGATAAATCGTGAAATATATGAAACCTGTGAAGGATACATCAAGATTGTTACCACTAAAAATAGAAATAAATAAGAGATTATTAAATTAAATATTATTTTAATGAGTGAAGATATGCAGAATCTTGTTACTGTCATGAGAAATCACAATGTTATCACTGTTTTGTTTAATATAATTACAATTTATATACACCATGGTCATTAGTTGATCTATCATGGGCTTTAAGATGCAAATGTTTGATTTAAAGTATTTGTTTTACTGAGAACAATGATGATCCAAAAGTAGAAAATAATATTTAGACACTCGTTACAATTATGTATTTTTTAAATTAATAATTTGCATATTTTTTATAAACAAAGTAAAATGTTTAGCTAAAATTGTAATTCTGTAGCTACGGTAACTATTGAACAACATAAATTACTAACATTTAACAATTTTTATTTTATGCTGATGTGTGTCATTTATTTTCTTTTCAGCTTAGTCCCTTTATTAATCAGGTGTCGCCACGGCGGAATGAAAGTTTTTGTTTTATGCAGCGCATGCTCTTCCAGCTGCAACCCAACACTGGGAAAGCTGATGTGTTTAATATATAAAATATTTAATGATCTTGCACCACCGCCTCTCAAACAATGTGTGATTGTCTACAAGGAAAACATAAGACAGACTAGGTCATCAGTTAGAGGTGATTGTTCAGTTAAACTTGACAACTTTTTTTTTTCAGTCAGAACAGAAGAAAAATAATATTTTTAAAACCGTGCTTAAACCTCTATGGGATTAATTATGAAATCACATTTAAAAAAAATGATTACTATTTATTTCTAGAGAGTATTTAAGGCTGAAATAATTTATCATAATTTGTTTTGTACATTTTACTTTAGACCTTTGTTTTAGTTCGTCGCCATTTATGACTGACTTTGTCCCATCAGGGTAACAAATATATATATATATATATATATATATATATATATATATATATATATATATATATATATATATATATATATATATATATATATATATAAACTTGTCTGAAACTTCACACATTTAAATGAACATCATCTTAGAACACAGACAAAATAGTATTACAGTGCCTCATTGTACAGAACAACATAGACAGCAACACAGGAAATATGTATTCCTAAAAGCACTTTGTAATTTTTACATGACACAGATTTTTTTTTTATTGTTTTTCTAAAACTCTGATTACACAGCTCTTTAAAAAATCCTAAAATGTACTCTCTCTCTCTCTCTCTCTCTCTCTCTCTCTCTCTCTCTCTCTCTCTATATATATATATATATATATATATATATATATATATATATATATATATATATATATATATAGACGTAAATTAGCTTTATAGCTAACTCTGGCACAACGTCATGTACATTGCCCCTGTATAAATCAATAAATAAATAAAATGCAATGTTTTTTTCCCAATAAAAACACCTTCAATAAGTGCAAATATGTATTTACTCGTTATTGTGAATTGACTGTTCTTGCCTTAGTATAAAATACCTTTTTCAATGAATCCTATATCATTTATTTTTTAGATAACGTATTTACTTTATAAAAATGATACTTTTTTAATCTAGTGCGACACAACGCATGTGGCGAGGTAGCTATAATACAGTTACTGGCCCTTTAAATTTATTCTCCCGCGTTTTTGTGACAGGGTCGTAGTTCAGCGGAAGTACGGTTTGTGTCCGTATTTAAAGGCGCCAACAAAGACTAATTCAGGAGCAGCTTCACAAACCCGCCACAGACACACGCATCATCCAACAGTACAGTTCAGCTTAGTTTATTTAACGCGTTAAAATGCCCGAAGAAACAGGAGCTACTTCAACCGCGGAAAGGTAAATTGCATTTTCAAGTTAAGAGCGCTTCCAAGCCTGTAGTTAAAGTAACCTTATAAGTTAAGTTAAAGGAAGTCTGCGTGAGAGGTTTTGACTGCTTTCGTTTGATAACAAAGCTGCAGCAGCGGCGTCCTTGTCAGGAAAAATGTCTCTCGCTCGTGCGTCGATTCGCTTTTCTCACGCGCCCGGACCCTGTCGCACGCGACGGGATGGCATCACCGTTGATCCCCGCTGCCGTGTTGTTTGTTTGGCTGCCTTGGTTTGGCGGGAGAAGGTTTAATACGAACGGTTAGCTTGCTTTATGTCCTAAATGAGGAAATTCCCGCTCGGTTGACGCACCGTCATGAATGGCCCGTCAGTGAGCTTGGCGCTGCATTGAAATGGCTGCACACGGCGCCTTAGTTCAGTTTAAAAGGTGGCGGTAACACCACAAACAATAGTCTTTGCATATTATAGTTGCATTATAGAGTGATGTTTGTTAGCTACATTCGCGGCGGAATATTAACACTCTGTTATCCAGTGGTAGCAAAGCGTTAACTTAAACCATACATGTAATTTATGTGAACTTTTTTTTATAAAAAGTTTAGTGCTACTTTATTCCTGAAATGTTTTTAGACGAACCAGAAACGTTATATTTTATAACCGTGTGATTCTGTGGTGTTTGTCATTTCAGGATGGAAGAGAAACCTTGCTCCTCAAGCACTGGAGACAGGTGATTTAACTGCACTTTATCCAAACACAAATTAAAATCTAGAAAAATATATAATAAAGTGATTGTTCGCCCAAAATGTTTACACAAGGTCTTTACCTTATTTACAGGTACATTTTTTTTTTCAGCTGAAAATAAATGAAATTTATAGAAAATTTAAGCCATTGACATGTACTGTAACGTTAGGATTTAAATAAAAAAAAAACTACAGTTTCCAATTTTATTTTGACAAACAGATTTGAAGTTGATGGATATTATGTAAATGACCATTTTAAATGTGTATATATTTTCCCTCAGTTCTGTCGATGTCGCTGAGGAAGCAAAGAAGCTGATTGGCACTGGAAGTCGGCACTTAGTGATGGGTGATGTTGTGTCTGCAGTCAGTGTTTTCCAGGAGGCTTGTGCCATGCTGTGAGTAGAAAGCAGATGATGCATGTGATTTTTTTTTTTATAAATGGAGCCAGTGTATCCATTCAATCCATGCGGACACTTTTACTACTAGGTTATGTATAGATGGTGTAAATTTAAACCCATTAGCTGCTAATGTCACTGTTTACAGGAACTTTGGTATCACTAAGGGGGTGGTGTTTGTTAAATTCTAAAGAATATTGCGTTAAAAAATAATTGTCTTTGCTATTTTAAGTTCTTTAGAATTAACTTTCCTGAAACCTTTTTTATTATTATTGAAGTACTTATTTTAAACCTAGAAGCACTAATTAAACTATGCAACTCAAATGAGCAGTACTATTCTTGAAAAAATTAATTTGTCCTATGCACTGTGAACTATGAACTAGTGCACATGTTGCTTCTCCTGCATTAAAATGCTTTCTTTGATGGAGAAGTGCATGGTGTTAAATGATCCGTACTTGTATAATATAATCTTGTTGAAATGCATAATGAGTGGGAATTTTTGTTCCAAAAATGCTGTTAGGCAGTAATTGCATGAAGATTCAAGTGTATCCTTCTAGTTACTGAAAAGAGAGAACCAGAACTATTGTTTTATAATTTATTTATTTTTATAATTTTTTTTTTTTTCTTATAGAGCTGAGAAGTATGGAGACACTGCTGATGAATGTGGGGAAGCTTTTTTCTTTTGTGGGAAGGCCCTTCTGGAGCTTGCCAGGTATATAAAGATTTAGTCAATTTTCTTTTTTGGCATTTTACCATTTGATTAACTTTGCTCTTAATTTTCTAGGATGGAGAACACTGTGCTCGGTAATGCTTTAGAAGGAGTCCCAGAAGAATCCTCTGAGGAGGGTGAGAAGCAGGATGACTCGAAGATCGAAAGTGCTGACAACTTGGATGGTTTGTTAAATATTTTCTAGAATTGTTAATTTTGGTAATTTCATACATGGGGGAAATTCTTGACATCGTATTTGCGAAAGGTGGGATTTGAAGAATCGCCAAATTTAAGACTTTGCTCAAGCCAGTTTGATTGAATTAAAAACGTTTACATTTTCTTAGAGGGACTTTACCTGTAACATGGCAATTTCCCTCTTTGTATGATGATTCAGAGAAAACCAGGGATGAACTTCGAGCACAGGTTTATGATGCCATGTCAGAGGACAATACTCGGTCAGAGGTAGAAAAAGAGGAATGTGGTGAAGGCGAACGGAACAACAAAGAGGAAGTTGAGAAGCAGGTAAAGGTAGATGAAGCACCAAAGGAAGCAGATACTGCATCTAAAACTGAGAAACCAACTGAAGATGAGGCAAAACCCGCAGAGAATCAGGAGAAAATGGCTGTAGATGAGGAAAAACCTGCAGAGAAACAGGAGAAAATAGCTGTAGATGAGGCAAAACCTGCAGAAAACGAGAAACTAGCTAAAGACGAGGCAAAACCTGAAGAGAAGCCGGCTGAAGAAAAGACCAAGCAGGCTGAAGACGAGGCAAAACCTGCAGAGAATGAGGAGAGGCCACCTGAAGATAAGGCGAAACCTGCTTCGATCGAGAAATGTGGTAATGAAGATGAGAAATCCAAGGGTGAGGATGAAGACGCTTCTACAAATAAAGATGTCACTGTGTCAAACGGAATTGCTAAAAAGAATAAAGATGAAAGTGTTGAAGAGAAAAAGGGAAGTGAAGATACTGAAGAACCCATGGAAGAGGATGGAGGTAGTTGCGCTTGGATTCTGGGGAGCACAAGATTTTAGTGTTTCGGTGAATTTACTAGCCTTCACTTGGTAAATCTACTTCTAAATTCTGGTGGAGCCACAGACTATTTAGTTGGAATGCTTGCAGTGTCACTGAAGGTGTCCATGGTGAGGAGTTTTTAAAAGGTCAGTGTTGGAGTTTGACTTTTTTTTTTTTAGGTGATGACGATGGTGATGAGGATGAGGACGATGACGATGATGAGGATGCAGAGGGTGATGCTAAGGATAAGGTCCGTAATCATTGCATACAGTTCCTTCTCCCTTGTGGTTTTTTTTTTATTTATTTATTTTTTTTTTTAACTGAGTTTGTTTGCTTTTTAGGAGAGTGAGGAGGATGAAGTTGGAAACCTGCAGTTGGCCTGGGAGATGCTTGAAGTTGCTAAAGTTATTTATAAAAGGTATGTCCTTATTTATTATTATTATTATTGTTATTACATTTTTGTCTCGAACCTTTTGTATATTTCTTCCCATATAGAAAAGATGACAAAGAAGATCAGTTAATGGCAGCACAGATTCACCTGAAACTTGCAGAAGTTGGAGTTGAATCAGGTGTGTATGAGTAAATTACTTTCTTTTGAATTCCTCCACCTTTTTAAAACGGATTAAACTGTTCATCACCCATACTTTTCATTTAACAAGTGTCCATTTCAATCATGTAGGAAACTACAGTCAGGCTCTGGAGGACTTCAATGAGTGTTTAACCCTGCAGCTCAAGCACCTTCCCTCTCATAGTCGTCTTTTGGCTGAGACTCATTATCAGTTGGGCACCACTTACAGTTACACCACACAATACAACCAAGCCATAGAGCACTTCTCCAACTCTATCAAAGTCATCGAGAGCCGTCTTGGTAGGGGCTTTTTTTGCAATTGTTTTGTCTTTTTATTCCTTTTAAACTAAAGATTTGTTATGCGCAAACGTTGTATACTTGTGCATTTATCTTGATCCATGCTTGTCCACCAGCTATGCTTCAGGAGGTGATCGACAAGGCAGAAGGTGAAGACGCAGCAAAGGAAGAGAAGGGCGAGTTTGAGGAGTTGAAACAGTTGCTGCCAGAAATTAAAGAGAAGATTGAAGATGCCAAGGAGAGCCAGAGGACAGCTGCAGCAGCTTCAGAGGCCATCCATCAGACTCTAGTGAGCTGCTTCATTCTCTTTTATTCCGCTAATACATCTCATCCATTGCTTGTATTTACACAGCCATGTGCTGTTAGTATAAATTCAGTTGTAAGGTTTGGTTTGATACCTGCTACGTACACAAAAATGGAACCCAAGTAGAGTGTTTAGAATTTGGTTTGTTTTACAGGCTGGAGCATCCACATCATCTGCATTCCCCACTGAAAATGGTGGCCCGTCTTCATCCACTGCTAGTCAGGTGTGTTAATGCTTTATTAAAGTGACCCCTGCCAAAGTGTGCTTTTCCGTATTAAATCTCTTTTCTTTCTCCCCTAGATTGCTGTGAGGCCAGCTGATGGTGCCTCTTCCTCCAAATCTGCATCTGATATTTCTCACCTTGTCCGCAAAAAGGTTTGTCTCCATTTTGATTTCTGATTGGGGGACTTGGCGTGTTTTACATTTACATGCAGCTAGCGTGAATAGTATCATAAAGGGACCTCTGCTTTGCCTCTGCCGAGGTCAATTATGCATGCTTTGGTCAAGAGCTGAATTTGCCAGATGAGATTTGGTGTTGCTTGGAGCTTCTGTGGTGACTGCTTCATTATTGTGGCTTGGTGTAGTTGAAGTGTCCGTGTGCTTGAGTAGCATGTAGAGAATAGGTGTTTAGCACAAAAATTTAAGTGGTGTTCTGTCCTGCTTTGTTCTTGCACAGAGGAAACCAGACGAGGAGAGTCCAAAAAAGGACAGTGATGCTAAAAAGACTAAACAGGACACCTCAGTTAATGGCAGCGACGACTCCGCCCACAACGGCAATGGAGTCCAGGAGAAAATGGAACAGGAGGCGAGTTGATAGGCTTACTGTTTCTCTAATAGGGTCAGGGGGCTCGACAGTAAGGACCGTTTAATGGCACCGTGGCCAAGATGCATCGTTGCATCAAGTTTTCTCTTAAGTCTTGCCAATTTTAAATATCCTTTCCATTTACTTAAACATTTGACGTTTACAATGTATATAAAATATTGCTTCAAACATACTAGAAGGGTTGAAAACTGGACCAGGGAATATTTAGATATTTACTAGTACACTCCTAGCAGGGTCTTGAGACGTTTAGTTCCTCTTGGGTTAATTCATATTGACTGAGCTAAAAGAAGAGTTGGAAGTTGAATGTTTCAGCATAAATTCTTCATACCAAAGCTGTGTTTTTGAGTTCTGCTTGTTAATATTTCTATTTTTCTCTTGCAGCCAGCCAACTCTTCCTCTGTGGAGACCTCCGCGTGATGGGCATCTTCTGATTGACTCCTTACCTTCCAACCAGCAGAGCATGCCTGCCTCATCTACTCCCCATGAACAACTTTTTGTCTCTGTTTTGTAAATAACCAGATTTCTTTGTCTGTTCGATTTTTGTATACTTGTAGTAAACTTTCAATAAAGGATATTTGCATATGTGATCACTGTTTCAATAGAATTATTGAAATGGAGTAGAATTGTCAAACTTCTACATAGAATGCATTTTTCCCAGCTCAAAAGCATTTATTTATAAGCTACAGCAAGCTTCCAGTAGTGCTATTCAGATTTAATTAAACCAATCTAACTGGACTTCTCCGTGATTGATCGGTGCCTTCGATGAAGGTAATGAACTTGATGGTTGTTAAATGGTCCCTGAGTTGCTTTTTGTGACCACCTAAACAAAACATTTGAAACCCTTTAAATAACTTCAATTAACATCAATGTAGAGAATTATGCATGTATCATACCGTGAAGTACTTGTATTGGTTGATGTTTGGGTCCATCTTTGCAAAGGACCGAGCATCTCCATCACAAGCATTTACTATTCGAAGACAGACTTCCATCTTACTCAGCTAAGGAAGGAGCACACTGTATTTTAGTCCATTTGAAAACCTGTCTTGTCACCAGCTATTGGCAGTAGCGACAAACAGATATTTAGGCCATGTGTATATAAGAGGAGAAATTAATGATCCTATACTGCCTAGTAATTGATTATTATACCTGAGGCATAGAGTTCAGTTGAAATGAACTTAGAGCTGCTTGAACTGGAAGAAAATGAAACGGAAGCCTCCAGAAACCACTGTGAACCTGGTTGTGCTGGTCAAAGAGTTCAAGTTTAGCCCATCCAAAAGTCGCAAAGCCTTCAGTTTCATGGTTGTAAAAGTCCAGACCTCTAAGAGTCTGTATCTCCATGACCAAAGAGAAATCTGGAGACGGCTGTACACTGAAATGAAACTCATTTAAGAACATATACAGTACCAGCTTGAGATGTCTACCTGTAAGTCTAAACCAAAATACCTTGGCACAGGTTGTTTAGCAGCCAGTATGGCATAGTTCCCAGGAATCTTGGTGGAGAGTAATGACCCTGCCGGCTGGCACTGCACAGGTGGCATTGCGATGGTCTGTCCCAACGGCTGCCCGTTACAATATAACCCTGCCAACAAGCGCACTGATCTCAAAGCAGCTTCAATACCTATAATTATGTCATAGAAGATCATAAAGCCAGCCCTGAAGACACATTCAGAAAAGAGAAGCATTTGAATTAAATTAGCATGAAATGTGCATGTGTTGATTTGGGGAAAAGTAAAAGAATTGGTCTTACGCTGGATCATATTGAGCAGGACCAAATGCTTCAATTGAATCAGTTACAAGGGACGTCTGATCCTGCAGTATTGGTAGAACAAAAATACATACATTATCATTCAACAGTCTGGTGTTTTAATCATTTTATTCTAAGGAAATCATACTTCAATCGTCAATAACGAGCCATTAAATTTAAAAAAAGTTACAATAAAACACATTACACCATTTATTGATTAGAGTTAAAACAAGAAAAATAGTTAGGCCTATAAGGATCTGAAATCATTTAGTAAATTCGTAAAGTAAAATGAGCCTATTTCTTTGTCCAAAACAGTTTTACTATTTTTGAATTCATTCAGACGATTTTGTGTCTGGTAAGTGCATTGCATAGCTTAGCTTAGCATAAATTATTGAATCGCGTGGCTTAATTTGTGTCTGAACAAGCCGGATCCAGATTTGGCACCTCTAAAATCGAATCCCGTGTTGTGCCAAAAAACGCACCCCTGCCACAAAATGCACCCCCTCATAGACTTTAATAGCATTCTAAATCTACATAAAAAATAAAATTTAAATAATCAAAGTCCATAATTGATTAAAACTTAAAATGATTATTATTTTGATGGTAAAGCAAGAACAAGAAATGAAACCCATTTTAAATGCACTAGCTTTATAAATAAATGTAAAATAATAATATGGACTGTAGTGTAGCCTAAAATTAGGCTTTTTGATGGGTTTTAAACATTTAGGCTACAGAGAGCACAAAATTTTTGCTGTTTTAAACTAAACAGCACAATAAAACAATTTACATTAAACAATCTCATCTGTATTTATTCATTCTTTCATTTTCTTTTCAGCTTAATCCCTTTATTAATCTGGGGTCACCACAGCGGAATGAACCGCCAACCTATCCAGCACATTTGTACGCAGCGGATGCCCTTCCAGCCACAACCCATCCCTGGGAAACATCCACAAACACTCACACTACATACAAATTAGCATACCCAATTCACTTGTACCGCATGTCTTTGGACTGTGGGTGAAACCGGAGCACATGCAAGGAGAACATGCAAACTCGACACAGAAATCCCAACTGAGCCGAGGATCGAACCAGCGACCTTTTTGCTGTGAGGCACTACTGTGCCACTGCTTCGCCCCTCATCTGTATATCTTCTGTAAGGGAAGGGTTCCATTCATGAAACTCACCTTAATAACTCTATTTTTATAGAATTATTTCTATTATTTATTTATTTTTATAAATCAATTTTAGTTAATAGATATACATTTCAGAGGGTGTGTATTTTACGGCGGGGTGCACCTCCCGGCACAACACCAGCACCTCATTTTACCAACCCCCCTACTCACACGCACTGCCCCTTCCACCCCCTGCTCCTCACTTTCCTCTGCGACTCCCCAACCCTCTTCAATTTCATCCGCCACACCCCGTTAACCCTATCCGTTACCACAATCTGTTCCTGGACTTTGCAATGTACAAATTAGGCACTGGGTAAGACCATTGACACACTTATTTTAACGTAAAAATCAAGAAACTGTATTATGGCTACAGCAGCCACAATGATATTACGGAGGGCATATAGTTCCTATACAGTGTGTAGTTCCTTTCAATATCGAAAGCAAATAGCAACTTTTAATTTTCCATCGGTCAGTACAATATGTAACTACAAAAGTCAAAGCTTTAAATAAATAAGATTATCAAAACTCTGGTATTTTTGAGTGAGACACTAATGGTCTAATCTGATTTATGCTAAGCTAAGCTAAAAGTGTTACTGACACCCGGAGTTAAATTAAATAGATTCAAAAATAGTTTAAAATCACTTAAATGTTACTTATGTTCAACATTACATCGGCATTCTGAAACAAGATTTGATAAACTTTTAGCTAACCAGTACCAAAGCAGGATGAGTTAAGGCCATGGATGATTCTGGAAAAACCGACAGAGGAGGTTGAAGATGGTGTTGTCTTCTCTCTCGGTCCTGCTCTATTTCTCCACTTAGAAAGGCAATTTCAGCCTGGAGGCTTTCCATTTGACAGATGTGATCCTTCTGGACATCAACGACCCCTGATCCTTAAAACGTGACACAATATTTAAAATACTAATGCCAAAAGTAATTTACTTAGATATTTAAATGTTATTAAAATACTCAAATAATATGCAGATGTACTCTCAGGAGAAGATTTATTTTGTATGACCTGCTAACACTTATGCCTTAAGGATTGCCTTAATTCTTTGTGGTGTAGATTCAGCAGATTCCTCAGTGACTGTCTATATGGACATGATATTATCATGTTGCTGTCAGTCACACATCCCCCTTTCATCTCATCCTAAAGGTGCTCTAATGCACTATGGAGGTCATTTGAGTTTAGAGTTTTAGAGAACTCACTGTCATGTTCAAGAAACCAATTTGACATTATCTGAGCTTTATGACAGGGTGGATTATCCTGGTGAAATTGGCTAACACATGAGGGATACACTGTGTGTGGTCATACGGTTAAGGACATGATCAGCCCCTGCATGATTTCTGCCCCTGCCATCCAAATGTCGCAACTGAAATAGAGACTCACCAGACCTTTTTCCAACTTTTACTGTTCATTTATGGTAAGTCTAGTATAAGTGAACTGTAATCTCAGTTTCTTGCTCTTAGCTGACAGGAGTGCACCATACGCCTCTTTGATCAGACTTAAGGTACAACAACAAACTTTTGCAGATCATGCAAAATTTGTTGCCGATATGTTTTAGAATTGAGTTGGGACAATGGTCAACAACTGTTGTTTTATTGTGCTATATGTATGTATATATATATATATATATATATATATATATATATATATATATATATATGGTTGTAACAAGTGGTTATTACATTTATGTTGCTATCACATCAAACCAGTCTGGCCATTCTCCTCTGACCTTTTTATTTCACCAAAAAAAAGGGAACTCGATCAATGTTTGTGCTTGAAAAACCCAGTAGATGAGCAGTTTTTAAAATACTCAGATCAGCCTGTCAACCATGCCACCTTCAAAGTCCTTTAAATAACCTTCCTGCCTAATCTGATGCTTGATTTGGCTTCATCTCCTCTTGACCATATCCACACGTTTAAATGTATTATGTTGCTGTCGTTTCGTTGGATGATTAGATATTTGCATTATCAAGCAGGTGAATGGGTGTACACTGTAGTTTGTGGTATGAGCACGCAAACTAGACAGAATACAATAAACATCTTAGCTATCAAAAAGTAAGCATTATTTATAGTTTATTATGTCACGCTCAGTATGTTCAGAACAGATTTACCATTCTCTCCTTTATGCCTCTCCCTGGCCTGCTGGATTCTGAATATTTCCTCCTCCAACTTTTGGTTTTCCTGCTCCACAGCAAGAATATCAGGATCCAACGATCTCTGAGGGGACTTCATCCCTGAGGATTACAGGAACAAAGAATATGTAGACACTTAACTGTACATTCATAGACATGGATTGAATCTTATGGATTAAAGTAGAATATTATTAAAGACTTTGTGGACAGTCTCCAGTAGACTACTGTCACATTATCAAACTTTTAGAATAATGGCAGAAGGTTTTTACTTCACCAGCCAAGAATTATCAAAAAGGCCATCTGACCAACATATGAGGCAACCAATCACAATTGGTTTTCTTATCATTTAGTTTAAGTGTGAAAATGTAGTCATTGTCCCCACAATAACAGACCAACATACCTCTTTTCACTTACACTAAATCCCTCAAGCAACCATAAATGTCTTTTAAACTTATATGACTGTCTTTGAAAATGCTATGAATAATGTATAAATAGACCACTGATAAAATAAAGATCGAATGAACAATATAAA